CTACCCCCCCCCCCGCCCCCCCTGCCAATCATCTCGACTATCCCCGTAGGGGACTTGGTGCTGCTCGTGCCGGTCTTGACGGTAGCGCCGTTGACCAGGCCAACGTGCTGCTGCTGCTGCTGCTGCTGCTGGAGCTGCCGGCTGTAGGCGCCCCCCCCGAGCTCGGCCGACCGAGCGGTCGAGGGCGAGCTGCTCTTCTGGTGCTGGATGTTCAGGTACAGGCTCGCCATGCCCATAACCGCTGCCACCCAGAACGCGATCTTCAGCCGCAACAGGAGCAGCAGCAGCAGCAGCAGCAGCAGCGGCAGCGGAACAAATGACAAATCTTTTTTGTTTTCTGGTACACGATTTCCCGTTTCATTTTTTACCACAGCTTAGACAGGTTGGCTCCTTATTGAGCACCATCATTAGTACCTCACGCCGTGGTGGAACTACCACGAGCATCTCGTCATCTGTGGCGATCTCAAGCTCCGCTTCTTCAGGCAATTCATCCCCCTGCACGCATGGGACAACCAGCTCGCTATGTGTGCAGGTAGGCATGAGATGCCTGAAGAAGCAGAGGTTGAGATCGCCGCAGATGACGAGATGCTGGAGGTATAAGTTCCTCTATGCGCTGGAGTATTAGACTCTTCCTGCTCGTCCGCAATCAGGACGTTAATGCTACACAGTAGGCGCGCGGCGGATACGCGGTTTCACATTTCAACGCTGCGACCGCAAGAACTTCGTTTGTGCGTACCGTAAGGGTCGGAGAGATGGCACCCCCGTGATAGCGTTTTCATTTAGCCTATTTCTCCACCAGTATTAATAGGAGGGTGCGAACACCAACCGATACCTCTCAGGAAAGCCCTCGACGAGATGTTTCCAAAACTACCCTTTTCGCCACTGGTACCCCGCTGGTTGTTGTCAACTACGCTACAAAAAAACGCTTACACGAGGGGGTCATCTCTCCGACCCTTAACGGCGTTCTTAGCTTCCCACTCTTTCGCCAACCCACTCTATGTCGGTATCGGTGCTCCAGCCCGCCTGGCCCGCAATGATGTATACCGCAGATTGCATAGGATATCACACCCCCCTTTGAGCGATCTCAAACCTCGAAAATGAATGGTGGTGCCGAAGACGGCGACACTAGAACTGTACCGTCGAGAGCTTTTCGTTCGACAATTGTATCATTTGATAGTTGGCATCCTCTTCGGCGTCGAGAAACCCGGAGATAACTTGGGTCAACGGGGTGCGGCGTAACAGTACACGGGTCCGCAGATAATAAACGTCACAATCGGGTAGAGGCTCCGCCTCTTATTTCAGCGCCACTACTGTCCAGCACAAGTTACTACACGCTCAAGATTAACGTAGAATCCACCGTGGTTTGGTTAATAGACCATGAATTCTTATTCTCGCGTGAATATTGGAGCCTCTGTCTTCATGAAACATTTCTGAAATGCGGCCCTGTGCTGATTCTTACTCAGCCAACGGTATGTCTCACCTTGTACCTCAGCACCGACTCCTCGACACTGTCCAGGTGCTCCCACAGACTCGTGGCATTGCCCGTGCCGTTAGCCCCGCACAGCTCCCGCGTCCACTGCAGCCGCACCTCCTCCGTGTTGTCGCCGCTACTCTCGCCGCCGCCACTGCTGCTGTCCCACCCTCCGCCACCCCAGTCATCTCCGGCTGGCACAGCGGCAGCCGAAGAAGAGGATGTGGGCTGCAGGCTCGGTGAGGGAGTGCTATCAACACCTTCGGCACCTTCGATCAGCGGCGGAGGGTCCAGGTGGACGCACACGATGCTCGATACCGGGATTTCGCACCGTGGCAGGGCCGAGCCGTCCGTAAACCCGCCGTAGCTGCCGCTATCTGCGGAACCATGGGAGCGGACAAACCAGAGGGGGTATGTCAGTCGGTGTAGTACAGTTTTCTCGTTGGCGGAGGCGACATCCGATTCAGGTCGGGATGTCGTGCGCCCGCCGACGAAATTTTTCCTTTCTTTCGGCATAGGCACTCACCCGCCTTGAGCGATAGGATAGTGTCATTGATGCTGATTCATATACCACTGCCACTTGTTCCGCATGGTCAACCCCCTCCACCCCCCCCCACCGCTAAATTTTTTTGGGAACCTAACCTACTACAAGGCAAAGAAGTAGATGACTACGACACCCCCCCGGCGTCGGCGATGTCTCTAGACACACTAGACACAAAGCAGCAGGAAGAAACGGTTGTTCGTCTCGAAATGGAAACGTAGTGCATAACCAACGGTCAGATACACGCCCGAGGCAAGCATCAAACGGCGACACTCCGCGCCCTCGAAGAGCAACACAGAGAACAAGTTTCCACTTTGATAAAACGATAACGGTTTAATGGTCAAAATACCAAGGTACCGAACGCCATACATACCCCATTCCTCCTATTGGAGCAAAATACTAAGGCACTAACGACGACCACAGCACGTGAGATCACCACATAAAGGGTTGGCAGAACAAAGGGGAGGCATAGGGAAATTGACCTTACAGTAGCAGCACATCCGTGGATCCAGATAAGGTAGGCCACATATCTCTCCCGACGTTAATAGTGTAGAGAACTTGAACGATTTTTTTGCGCGTGATGTGAGAGCCTGGTCCGGTGAGAACCTCGGGTGCTCCGCCTCGGCGAGGCCAATGGCCCAACAACTACGGCATGCACGGCTATGAGTACGCCTCCTTCTTATCTCTTGCCTTCCGCCGACGTTGAGCACGGCTCTGCAGGGTCCACGATCGCGCTGCCGTTCACCATCATCGCGGACGGCGCGCCACCGACCAAGTTGATGGCATTGACAGCACCGGCCTCCACGAGCATGTCCGCCAGCTCAGACAGGTCGAGACCGTCGGGGATAGCTGTGTCCTGGTCGGATCCCGCGGCTGCGCCGGAGGTCTGGANGGGGGGGGGGGGGGGGGGGGGGGGGGGGGGGGGGGGGGGGGGGGGGGGGGGGGGAGACACGTCCGCCGGGACAAACAAAACGACGAACAGCAGGCAATGAGCACACTTCGTTCAGGCGGAGCCAAGGGGGTATGCATCGCGGTCTCCAATAAAAACTTCTTGTAGAAATATGGACATCCCGTTAAAAACAGGGGCGGTATGGTGGTATTACAGCTGAATATCAGTATGCGCCGTGTGACAGCACTCTCGCATGCAAACAGGGAAAAAAAAACGGAGAACATTTCACAATTTCCTCCAAAAAGGACGCAGATGGAAGGCACGCACGGAACGAGCTTCTGCATCACGAGTCGCCTAGGTCGACCGCTCGAACACGATTGAGACTACGCCATAAAGAACAAACGAGGGGATCCTGTATACCCTTCCCCCGCTAGACCCCCCCCCCATAAGGAACACATGAGGGGGCCCCGTGTGCCCATCCCCCGCTAAACCGCCCCTCCCACAATGAACACATGAGGGGGCCCCGTGTACCCTTCCCCTGCGAGACCCCCCCCATAAGCACAAACGAAGGGGCCCCGTGTGCTCTGCCCCCGCTAGATCCCCCCC